CAGTGCAGTCAGTGCACAGCACTGGGGCCCGGGGCTATTGGGGGCTCATTCAATAGGTATAATGATCTAAAAATTTAACTTTAAAAAAATCCTATTCAAATTTTAAAAGGACCCTTCAATAATATTAGGTTTTAGAGGCTATAGTTATTGGTTATATTCATTACAATTTACCTATTAGGCCTACCTATTTCCCAAACGCTGCAAGTAAAAAAAAAACCAACAATACAAGCCATTACGTATACGATGGACCATGGAGGAAAGAAAATTAATTTTCTTTCCTCCATGGATGGACTAATATACTTTTTGAAATCACATTTCTAAAGCAATACAATATCGTCACGCTCCTTTTGTGTTTGTGGTACAATATTTTAAAGTTGGTTCAACTATTATTGTGTACGTTTTCAAACACTTCAGATCATCATAACTTCATGAATACATTTTAGATTCACTTCACTTCAAGTAGGTCGATGACTGTTCTATTATTGAATGGTAATTGTTATTGTCGTGATGGAATATACAATACCTGGATTTGCGCCAGGAGAATCAATTAGGGGGGCCTATATGTGTAATTTCGCCCAACCTGTCGTGAAAATGTACTGAATACTCGGTGCGTGTGAAAACACTTGCAAAATATATTTGCAAGTTGTTCTCCAGTGGGACTCGAACCCACATTCTCCAGATCACTAGCCTGGCATCATGCCTTTAGACCACCGAGCTTGCACCTGATCGCCAGGGTTGAATTCGAGCCGAGAGTATTCAGTACATTTTCACGACGGGTTGGACACAATTCCACCTATATGTTCTATTGATGATGTTGTCAATATTATAATATATCATAGATTCATGAAATGCTTAATAGACCTGTCTCTTATACACATCTAGATGTGTATAAGAGACCGATAACATGACTTGACCATAGTTTGTTCTCAATATTCTTTAATTTTTTTAACAAAATATTTTTTAGATATTTCTGAGCGTTAATGCCGTACCGTATCTGTTTAAAAAACCTCAGAACGTATAAGCATTCAGAGTTTCGCCTGAGTAGACCCCACTAGAGGCTCTGTCTCTATGTCCGATCAGGTGCATTTTTACCAATTTTACCTAGGGCCCGGCAGTTATCTATGCCATAGTCACCAACCGTCACGCATCACTTCAAAGTGATATTGGATGAAACGCATTTTGCAGAAACACATGCGAGGTCATAAATGTGTCACGCATTTAGCACTTGCGTGATAACGAATTATCACAAAATCAGGGGAAAACGTATTTGAAATAAGAAGAAATTGGTTTTATTAAAAATATAAAAACGGTATACAGTAGCTTGAGTCATTAGGGAGCTTTCTTTATCTCGTTCGAGAATCAATTCACAGAGAAAATTTCTCCTTTCTGAACAAAACAACCCAGCCAACCACGCACTTGTAGAATCTAGTAGTCGCGAGCAGTCTTGCGAGTTTATTGTTACAACCAACCGTTTAAAATGTGACGGGAACCCAAACTTCCGCAAGGGTTCCGTAATAATACCGTATACACTCGCGTAGGTCCTATAAGGTGACCCGTGTATAAGACGACCCCCGAGTTTTAGAAGATTTTTGGTTGATATTTGTATGTCTGGCGTATAAGACGACTCCCTGTTTCATTTTTTGTGGTCCTGTATACTGCGTCTAGCTGGATAAATGGAGCCAAATGCAAGGGTAATCTTCCAAATAATACCATTTTATGAGTTTTTAAATCTTCACCACCAAAATCGTATTTTCCCATATTTAAAATTGCTTTCATTGATACAACATTTAGTTGCTTCATTGCAGTAGCAAGTTCGCGTGTTAAGCTAGTTTTTCACTAAGCGAATTTATTCGCGCGATTCAAAGAGTCGGCTCGCTTCCTGAGCTCTGATTGGTTGCGCATTTTTTCGCTTCTCAAAAACTCCGATAGGAATGTGAATGCGCATGTGCATAAGCCGACGCTTTGGATTCGCGTGAATAAATTCGC